TTGTTAAGCTGCGGATAACGACCATTTTTTGATCTTCCCCACTAGGTATATGGACAAGCAAATACCATCTACTTTAGATCTGGATTTCGCTAAGTCCCTCGACTTCATGACTGCCGTTTCATACGGTGCACTACTAAGGTCCAGTGATCACGCATACATATCCTTTCGGTGTGCTCTTTCAAGGCACCAACAGACCGCCATTGAGGTACTCCCGAATATTTGGTGGGCGGATTTTAGTGCAATTCGAGCTAAGGCTTCAGATCCGCACTGTGGGGTCTCGATGGCCGACTCTGTCCAGTTAGGCTAGGATAAATTAAAGGCATACCTTACGGAGGTTTCCACTCCCTGTATTTCACTCATGAGGAAAAGCGGATTACTTGCACAGCCTCCATGGATAGATACCACAAACAAATACCTACTCAAGAAATGGTCTAGATGCTGGCGAACCTACCAAACAGCTCCATCAGCCAGTACCTATGATAGTTATCGAGAGATTGGAAATAAGTGTAAGCAAAATCTCAGGACTGTTCGTCTCGATATCATCGTCTTGGAACAGTTACTTATTGTCTGTTCTAATTCAGCTTTGCCAGCCTGTATCAAATCGTTGAGAAACACCGAACGTTCTTGAAGACTTTTTGCGGTTCCTCATCGGATTGGGCTATGTACTTTGATGAAAACGTTGGTTGGTCGTTTATTCCTGTTGGGATACGTTGGGAGCACCTCTGCCTTTGCTCCTCCGATGGTTGGGACCTACGAGTCGCGTGTTTCGAAATTTGTAGCTTGTGCCATTATACCATAAATTACGGCTTTAATGAAGATCCATGCTCTATTTGGCTGTTTTAAACTTTACACATTCTTATGACACGTCGCGGTGTCCCATAAGCTGCCCTATGTTACGGTCAGTAATCGGGCATAGCGGATCGTCATCGTCTAAGTAATACGCTTCGCTGGTGCTTGGTAATAAGAGGGAACTGCCGTCCGGCACTTTTCCGAGTATGCTTTGCGCTGCCTGACTTGGAACTAATCGCGACGAGTTCCTCCGAAACAAATAGATCAAGGATCTCACGACTCTTCGGCAACCATTTTTCATTTTGCTTCCTTTATTCACGTACCTCATATCCATGCTGCGATTTATATTTTTCTTGGTCACTCTCCGTACGTCTACTTCTCCGTTTGCGGATACTGAAAAGATCCATAGTTCTCGGATCGGTTATGGCGCCGAGATGTTTTTTGGGATGCTAAGGTTGCTTCGGTTTCCTTTCCCACAATTTCGACAGAACCGTTATGTTTGCTATTTACCACCGAAAAGTCAGGCGAACGTACATCTGACCCAGTTTGGGGAAATCCACTTACTCCACTATTGTCTTGAAACTGAGTTTCCACGTATTCACATCCCGGATTTCAGAGCCCACCTTAGTTTTAATCGTTAATATGCTTTTCTAACCGTTATTCCTTTAGTCCGGACATTTCGATCAGTAGCACGTTGTTTTACGCAGCTGGTTATCCGCACCCTTTCCCTTAGGCACCGATCACTGCTAACGCTTATGTGCCGTTCGCGTGCCAATGCAAGGCATTGTTTAACTGCCACTGCTGCCTACAATAATACTGAGAATGATGCCAAACCTTTTTTCGGTTTCATCGTTATGACAGGGCAACGGGGATCTAAGTCGGGTCGATTGTTCCAATGTCGACTTGCTTGCTTCTTAACATTCGTTATCGCAACTTGCTGCGGAAATACCATCGAAACACGAAGCACATATCAAGTGCACCCGGTTGTCTGATAATTCTCGTTTTCAATGAATGAGTTTCAAAGGGATCACATACAGCGCGTTTCCACAAACTTTCAACAATTCTTTGCCTCCGATAAGTTCCTGGATGTCACTATCTCACTACGGGACTCCAAAGTGCATTCCAATCGCATGTTACTATCGGCCTCCAGCGATTACTTTCACGGCCTTTTTGAATTTTACGGTTCCCAGTCAGGATCTTCACTGTCTGCTCACTACGACATAACTTCGGAGTATCTGTCCACGAAAGGCTTTGAATTTGTAATTAATTTTATTCATTCCCTTGGACAATGCTCCACACGGGTACCTCAAGAAGATTATGAGCCAATGTACATGGCTGCCAGCTTCTTACAGGTGCACTCCCTTCAAGAAATGTTCAGTGATCTTATCGGGAGCCATCTAAATACTTTCAACGTCATCAGTTAGTTTATGGCCATCTTATTGATCTGCTTTTGCAGGAACTCTAAGACTAGCGCATCTGTTTGACGACAGTCGGCTGTACCATAAATCCCTACTTTTATTGCTGGATCAGTTTCACCACATCGATGTATATTCTGATGATTACGTTAATTTGACTCAAGATCAAGTCGAAACCATTTTCCGGAGCGATCGCGTCAATGTCCCGCGGGAAAGTTTCATGGTTAAGGCATTGCTGTCCTGGGTATCTGCGGATCTACGGTCACGCATGAGTTTTTTCAAGGGGACGTTTACTCAACTACTCCGGCTTTCTTTGGTAGGTTTTTTTAATTCGATTAGATGCATTTTCTGTCTAAAACAGTGGCTAGCATCTGCTTCATCTATTCGTTGATAAATACTCCCGGACACGTGCATTACAGGAAGCACTGACGGTTCCTTTGCACTTTCTGGTCTCTATAACCAAAGCCGCCACTTCAAGTTATGCTTACCTGCTGTACTGACATCTGTTCAGTTCCAGGTTTGCATCCTAGCTGACACTTTTAACTCAAAACAATAGGAGCTTCGAATAAGAACACCAATGCTCCAATCACTTACGACGATTGTGCAGTCAAGTGCAGTTTAGCATCTGTCATACCTGCGAATTCGTCAATCTATTGAAGTGTCAAACCGGATTGGAGTTTTCGGTGACCTCAATCTACACGCTGGTGCCTACTTTTCATAACTCTTATCATCTGTACATTAACTCATTCCGCCATCTTACTCACTGTAAAGGCATAAGCAGTGCGCCCGTACACAGTACCTTCGCTTCGCTGCCACGCAACCACCACCAGTGGCACGTGGGCTCAGGATACTGCGAGGGTTACCCGGTCCTTACGCAGGCCTGAGCTCGCGCCCTCGGATTACAAGCCAGGCTTGTGATACTTAGGGCTACGGGCGGCCTTATTGTAGCTGCTTTCTTCATACCTGGTGAATCTCTGACTTCGTTTTTACCAACGCAACCTGTTTCAATGCTTTTACGGTAGGGCAGTCATTGTCTTCTTGGTTTGCAGGTGAGCGCTAATGAATTTGCCTCGATTGTGACGGATCCGAGGTTTTCTAGCGTGCACGAGGCACTGGACTTGTTGATTTTGGCATATCGAACTCAGACTGCGTCACTTTCCGTGGATTTTTTGTACTCCCCAAAGTTTCCCAACTCTTTTGGCACTTTCCCTATCACTAATAAGACTGTGCGTTCCGGCACCAATTTTCGGATCTACTCGTTCGGTGGGATCGAGGGAGCAGAATTTTCGGTAAGTCGCTTCGTATGAACGGTGTGTAGCGGTTTTGATATCCATATAGTCATCTATTGTGCTTGGGGGTTTGTTGGCTTTCAGGAGGTATTTCAACGCAATCGTCCCGATACACCAAGCTTTTTCAGCTACGATGAGGACATGACGCAAGTTTGCGCGTATAAATCCGTGGATGAACCCAATCGTATACACCATGCGTTGACGTCTTCGCTTGGATGGATCTTTGTTACCGGGGGTGAACTGGAGGATGGTGAATTGTTGAGCCGGTAAGCCTGTTGACCCATTACCTTCTCAGTGAGTGATGTATTTGACTAGTATCCGTTTGCTGTTACCTTTCAGGCTGGTCTCGATTTGAAGACGTACTGTTGATATGTATTCTCGTAACAAACAACTGAGTCACTCTAATTTGCGATAGAGCTTGGGTGTAATTCCATTGTATGATCACAGCTGTACTTTATTGTTAAGATTGAGAGACGCCTGATACGATTGCTACTGACACGATTTGAACACGCCTACGATAACGGTTTGGAACGCTGATCGATCGAACGGATTTGCGCTGACGTGACGGCGTTAGCTTAGCGTGAGAACCACCCTAGCCAACGTATTCGGTAGACGCTGAGCCCTCGTAACGGACGAGGCTGCGCACACGAGAGGGGATGATGGTAGACGCGCGCTAGCGGCTTAGAGACGAACGTTGCTCGGCTCTCGACGCACCCAAGCATCACGTGACCGAACCGACTCCCAAATACGGCGAAGAGAAAGCAAGACAAGTGGTCCTCTGCAGGCTCTTCTACGACCAACAAAGGGCGAATCACAACCAATACTATGGGTCATTAAGTTAGTGAAATAGCTATCATGACGGGGTGGTAGTTTGTAAAAGTACACTGTCAACATGTGCGCAGTTGTGCCGCGTCTCGGAATGGCTGAAATCTGCTGCGTTGGGGGAAGGAATTGAACTCCGTTTTCCACAGCCATTACACCGGAATTTGTGGCGCGTTCTTGCGGGGCTATTTGACGGGCCCGTAGCGTTTATAGCAACCTTTTAATCAAGTTATTGTTCTCCGATTTCCGTTGGGTTTTGTGGTCTTTCGGAAACTAGCGGGAATGCCTAGAATCTGGAAGACCTAAAACCGTTGACACTATTTTTCGAATGATCTCCTTAATTCCTGAGCGCAGGTAACCTTTTATTTATCTCCTTCGTACTCTTGCTAGTGTCTCACTTTTCCACTTCCTTCCTACAGCTGTTCTAAATATAACTTGGTCGAGCATATCTGGTTTCCAATGGAGGCTCTGGATGCTCCACGATCACATCACAGCCTCGTTTGCATTGAGAGTTTTCTTTATGCATTTGGGGGATATCGTCTAAATTGGAGTACCGGTTATTCTCCTGCGACCGATTCAATCCTCGTGCACGACTGCATTACCAATCAGTGGCGCTCTGCTCCCCATCGACTTCCCTTTGCTGGAGTCGACATGGGCGCGGTACTCATCACTTCAAGACGTGAGTTGTACGTGTGCATTGTGTGCATTTGGATTACAAGTGTACAATTCAGCAGGGTTGTTGTTGTTCATTCTATCAACTGCCACAAGATACTTAGTCAGAGCCTTTTTGCACCTGTGCACCTAGGAGGCCAACTCCTGCTTATTAATTCACACCAAAACATGTGAGCACGCTCAAAGATTCTCCAGTTTCCTCTGTATAATTTAAGTCTTTCTCCATAAGATTACATATGCACTAAAAACAGTTTAGACTAATACGTGACATCTCGAAGATGGTACTGATTCTCTTTGTTTTATGGTATAAGTCGGTATGTCACCTGTAATGCACTCAGTCAGTGCCAATGCATTCATCATATGCAAAATCCATAAGTCGTTTGTGCTCTCGCATTCTCTTCATTGCCACTTGTTACCGCTATTTCCATCTAACTATCTCCTTACTTTTTCCACTTTATTGTCACTCCTTTGTTTGCCTTTGTTTCATCATTGTTCTTATTGTCTATCATTGTAACACCAAATAGCCGTCTAGGTCCACTTGAATTCTCGGGTCATTTCCGGCGAAGCTTATTGCATGGGATAGTTCCTCTTAGTTATTTTGATCCGTTCTTAGAAACTTTACCTGAGATAGCTATCGTTTTATTAGGTATCCAGTTGCGCTTACACTTCGCATTAAGTGAGCGGGTCGGTTCTCCTATACCTAAAAGGCAATTCAATTAATTCATGCACTCTGTGCTGTGTCTGTCCTCAATAGGTCTTCGGTTTTTATGCAGGGTCTTGTTCTCTCTCCAAGAGCTTGGGTTCCACCGCGCGTCGCACACCCGAACAGTGACAGTTGTACTCCTTCAATCTCCCTTCTTATCTTTCGTAATTCTACTCCGTAGCTCGTTCGATCCATCAGTCGCATCACTGTACTGATTTGGCCTATCGCTCCATCAGTAAGCATCGCTTATGTAGCAACTCTGCTATCCCCATCTCGATGAGACTGGACTTTAACGTGGTGCGATGGTTTGTGTGCCTCAGTGATCCACTGAGCTATGCTGGCTTGTGCTTTTTTGCACCTTCAGAGCCACTCATACCAGATTGGTCAATGGTTAGAGGCCTGACAAGCTCAGTCTCCTGGCTCTCCAGATTGGGGGTTGTAGTGAGGTTGGCTCCTTGCTCCATAAAACGGGCTCTCTGTAGTCCAGTGCCAAAACCCTGCTGCCTTGCGGTAAGGTTTTTGAACCAAAGGCTTTGGCTGAGAACCCTAATCGTTCTCCTGTTTAGACTTGGGCAACCTGACAGTATTCTGCCCACGCAACACAATGAATCTTTCCTACAACAATTTCTTAATGCTTTGGTCATCGCAGAAGATAATAAACGGCGCCCTATCTGCTGCATCGAGCAGGGTGGATAGGAGTTTGGATGCTACTGCTCAGGCCTTCCCGTCTTCTTATACCCCTTCTTGCGCTTCTTCATCCTTATCGTCCCGCTCCAACTTTACTTAACTTTACTTATATTCAATCCCCCAATTCTTGGCCCTCCCCCAGCTTACTTCAATGGTCGCTTGTCTTCTATTTTCAAATCACGCGGTCGCACTGCGTCGCTCCAATCCAGTCGACAAATCCATGTTCAACCATGTGGACAACGTCGGTTCATCCGTTTCCATTTGGAGTCCTCGCGCCTCGCTAAGACTGGCATGCCTCAACGTGCGCACTTTACTACAGATTGGCCACCAGGCAGCACTTGTCCGCATACTAGAGACCCTATCGATCGATATTTGCTGTTTAGCAGAATCCCGCCTGCAAGATTCGAGCTCCGTGCTTACCCTGCGACACTGGCGCCACATTCTCATTGAGCCTGTCTGGCGATGATGCAATTTCAAATGTCGGTCAAGCTGGCGTCGGCATTGCTTTGAGTCCCCGGGCTGAAGCTGCCCTGCTCGATTGAATCCCAGTCAAAAGTCGGATGTGCGCTGTTAAATTAGCTGGTTCATTCCATGCTACGAAGTCGCGCGGAAACAAATGGTGCTTGTTTGTCATTACGGCCTACGGGCTACAAACCGTAGCACTGATTCGGTGAAAGATGATTTCTATCAGCAACTTCACGTTCTCCTTCGTTTCAGAAGCACGGATACTGTGGTGTTGGCTGGTGATCTAAACATCCAAGTCGGGAAATTGTACTCTGATAAGCTTCATCTGGGCGGCCAGCATGGTGTAGGCTCCCGTAATGATAACGGTGAGCGATTGCTACAGCTGTGTGAAGCTGCTCGTCTCTTTCTCGCGAGCACTAACTTTCGACACATCACCCGCAGAAGTGTGACTTGGCGGCCACCAGCTTCGCACCAGCCATGGGCGCAAATCGATCATTTCGCGATCAGTTACCGCTGGAGAGGCTGTGTCCAAAACTGTCGCTCGATTTGGAGCACGAGCGTGGACTCTGACCACGCACTTGTTTGCGCCGACCTCCGGGTGCGTTTCGGTGGACGTCCGCAACATCGATGTGAACGGATTGACACCAGCCAGCTGGCGAAGCCAGGTGTTCTGAATGTGTATCAAAGTGCGCTGACATCCGGGCTAAGTAAGCGCACACTGAAAACCCTCGATGATCACTGGTCGCATATTCGTCAAGCGTTGCTGTTAGCAGGCATGTTTTCATGTGGCAAATCACAATGCCAAACTGGACATTGTGTCTCTACACAGTCTGTGGAACTTATGGATGCTCGCCGACGTATTCCGGCTGGAAGCGAATACAATGAGGCTCGTAAAAGTCTCAGGGCACAACTACGTGCCAGTCTGAAGAAAGACCGCGAAATCTGGTGGTCTCATCGTGCCTTTGAGCTGAAAATAGCCGCCACCGTTGGTAATCATCGTAAGTTATTCCGTCTGATACGGGAAACAGGCAGCAGGAGATCTGGTGTTAGCGAGACCATACGCGACGAGGGTGGGCAGCCAATCCACAGCCTGTCAAGACGCTTGGAGTGTTGGGCCGAACACTTTGCTAGGCAATTTAACCCACCTGATTTATCGGACATTGAGCTCCCTTCTTTTTGGACCGTCTTCTTGGATCCGCCCTCACGCGCAGAAGTCGAACGTGAGATCAGGCTGCATGGTCAGATAGAATTCCCCCAGCCCTCTTCAAATTCGAAGGACCTGCTCTACTAGATGATCTACATGCGTTGCTAATGAAACTTTGGTAGCAGGAGACTGTCACGACAGACTGGAGCCGCTCCGTCATTGTCCCAATTTTCAAGGGAGGCTCCCATACGGAATGCGGCAATCATAGAGGGATCAGTCTGATCACAATTGCCTCTAAATTGCTTGCGTCCGTCCTTTTCCACAGACTGACTGGCACTCGTGAAAGCCAGATTCGTGAAGAGCAAGCAAGGTTTCGTCGAGGTCGGGGCTGCATCGACCACATCTTCACATTGCGTCGTGTTGGAGCACCGCCATGTTTATTGGCGACCCACCATCGTGTTCCTTGACATGAAAAGTACCTTCGACTCAGTCGATCGATGTGCCCTTTGGGAGTGTCTGCTGAGGAAAGGTGTACCTAATAAATACATATACGTTATCAAAGCGCTGTATGCACATAGTTCGGGCAGAGTGAGGGTTTGTGGCAGACTCTCGCCACCCTTCAGTCTCACCAGCGGTGTGAGACAAGGTTGCCCGCTGTCACCTTTCCTCTTCAACTTCGCTACTGATGAAGTCATGGAAACAGCGTTCGCTGGACACGACCTAGAAGGTGTGGAGCTACTTCCTGGTGAGCGACTTCTTGAATTGGAGTATGCGGACGATATTGCCCTAATCTGTGACAGCTCCCAAACATGCCAAACAGCACTGGACCGATTAGCACTGGCTGTCAATCGTTTTGGGCTATGCTTTGCTCCATCGAAATGCAAAGTACTTCTCCAAGATTGGCAGGGACCCAACCCTGCGCTAACGCTTGGTGGTGATCTGCTAGAAGTCGTTCAGGAATTCAAGTACCTGGGCAGCTATATTAGCACCCGTGGGATCGAAGATGAGGTTACTAACCGTATAGGAAAAGCTCGAGGTGGTTTTGCCAATCTCCGCCACCTGTGGCGCAGACGCGACATTACTCTTGCCCTGAAGGGTAGAGTTTATAACGCAGCCGTCCGTTCAACCCTCCTATATGGCTGTGAAACCTGGCCCATCAGGTCGACAGACATAAAGAGGCTAGTCACGTTTAACTGTCGCTGCCTTCGCAGCTTAGCTCATGTCTGGTGGGAGCACCGCGTGAGCAATGTGCGTGTTCGACGTCGCGTATTTGGTGCAGGAAGAGCGAGTGAACCGCTGAGCACCATTATATCACGCACCAGGCTCCGATGGCTGGGCCACGTGTTACGCATGCCAGCACACCGACTCCCGCGACGTGCATTGTTTGCGCGTTGTGGGTGCGGTTGGAAGAGGAGGAGGGGAGGCCAAGTGATGACTTGGTCGCGAGAAATGAAAACCCTTACTTCGAAGTTGTCGTCGGTTGGTGCATCCCAACTGCCTGGCTTTAGTCCTAAGGACGATGAACATGTTTGGTTGGACACACTTTCTGATATGGCTAGGAGCTGGCCACAGTGGCGTTTGTGTTGTGCGTTCCTTTGTCCATCCCCCTCCTGCTTAGCATCCATCTCCAATCACGATCTCATTCGCTGTTCATAGTGTAACTTATTTTACGGTACAATAGCCGGCTGTTTACTCTTCGGAACGATGTCCATCCGTTACTGGGGACTCAGCCGGCGTGTCACTGTTGTATTTTTCTTTTTCTTGTCTTTAGTATTGCGGCACAATAGCTGAGGTGTTTCCCACCTGCAGCTAACATGTATAATGATAATGATGAACTCTGCTATCCGGCCAGCGCTGCTCGGTGTGCATCGATTCAGGAATAACTTCCTAGGCGTTGTTCGGACCTGCTCAGCGGTCCACTTTGGTCTTCCTGTCGCCAGCTGCTTTCATGATATCCGTATTTTTCGGTAGGTGGATAAACAAGAGCTACTTATGGAAATCTCGTTTGACACCATCCAAAAGGCAGTCGGTAGGAGAATATGCCGAAAGGATTAAAGCACCTCGTCTTCAGGTGATACTTAGTACATCCAGCGGATGTCCACAGTCGAACTACATACATTCGGCTAATCAGCCGTATGCGGTCGAGTGTATTTCTCTCATCATTTCTGCTGAGAG